ATGGGTCTTGTTCCATTCAGCGATTCCCCCTTGAATCCAGTTAATATCCTTGTCGCGGCAGGCCGCATTCGTCACGACATAATAACGATCCGATGCATGTTTGCAAATAATAGTGTCGTCAATTATGCCCCCTTTCTCATTAAGAAAAACAGAAAGAGTAGAGCTGAAAGGCTCAAGATTCGAAAGTCCTGAAGGAGTTAGCCACTCCATAAATTCGGTGGCGGTAGGACCCTCGATGCTGGAGGAAGGGGATCTATAAGTGAAGTGGTGCTCATTTAGACCAGTTTCCTCACAAGCTCTGCACCATATGTCCCACGTCAAATAGTCCTACGCTGTTCCTCACATGGTTGTGTGACGCAACTGAGTGTTTAGCTGTGTCAGGGCTCCCCTCCGAAACCAGGCCATAGAAACAAACCTTGTCCCACTTTACCATACAATAACGGCATGGAGTAGCCTCCGAATGGAACCATCTGACCCCCTTTCTCGAGATGGAGGTCATATAGCCCAGTTCTTGCTAACTGTTGACCGATGAATAATTTAGGCCGCAGGCACCCACAAAATCAAACGATTCCCAGACCTGAGGTGTTTCAGGAGAGCCTGTCACCATGGAGCGAAAAATGTTCAAAGACGTATGACCCAAGGGACGGAATGGCTTGAGTGCTGGGGCAATAAGCCGTCCTCTTGCCCGTAATACATAACGTTGCATTGAGAAATGAGAGGCAATCGTTTCCAAGCGCCGTCCCGGAAGCAAAATTGACGCCCAAATCTTCAGGGGCTCGTCTTTGGATCAGGACCTATTTACGTCTGACATTGTAGGCGTCTTCAGTGAATCCTCGATTGGTGTGCCATTGAAGAATGGCGGACTTCCCGATATCCCCCTCACGACTGCTTCCTGCTGGGCCAGCCCTCGAAGCTCTAGAGGCATACAAACGACGCGATGGGTCCAAAGGTAGGCCCCATTACAACATAATTGGCTGTCAGGTTAAGGATTACTCCTTTCTAGTCATCGTTCGCTTCCGTGCAGTTGGTAATGCGCCGATCATGAAGCAGAATTACTACAAGATCACAGCGTCGAATCGCTTCCAGGCTGTCATTCAATTCTTACGGAAAGAACTGGGATGGAAGCCCACTGACCCTTTGGTGAAGCCAAAAAAATCGGCCTTAGAGCGCTCGTCGCTAACAATGTCTGATCCCAGTTCACCTATATCAATATGGCGTTCTCTCCAGCCCCAGATGATACTGTCAGCAATCTATTCAAGGTATATCCTTTTATGGTTTACATTCACCCTGTCTCATTCTTTCTGTCTGGAAGTGTTTCGCGACTGAAGGGCACCTAATAGTAAACTATAGGTGCGCAGGGAGTCTCCTTCAATTTTGTGCCTGTCACCTCAGACCCTTTCCATTTTGCAGCACCAATGCAGCTTGGGGGTAAAACGTTCGCCTGTGTTGTGAGCTTAGTTTCTAGGTTATGGACATGTTGTATGCTAGCTATTGGGGTTCAACAGCCCCAGCTTGGAGTTCTCTTGGCTCCAAGCGTGACAATGTAACGCCGAAGATCTTAGGTGGTCGCATGACCTCCCGCTGCCTGACATCAACGTCTATGTTTGGCGGTCACGCCTGTATAGGAGCGTCTGGATGACCATTTCGAACCTCCTGACTTCTCTTTTCATTCTAACATTCTGAAGGGGCTGCGAACCACCTGCATGTCCAACCGACAGCACTAATTGATTTGAGTCCTAAGAACAAAGACAATCGAGCCTGCTCCAAGTCATGGTCATTGTCACAGGCACGATGGGGGTTGGTACTGTTCTCCCTGATCTCCAGCTGTGATGCCGTAGAGGTTCTGAGACGTCGGGGAATGTCATTATGCTGAATTCCTGGGTCTCCGCATGTGCCTGGAGAGGGCCAAACAGAGCTTGTTTAAATGAGGTATACACGATACACTTCGCATCCTATTTCGACCTCCAGTCTGCAGGGCTAGGTTATGCAGATGGTGAGGTCATGAACGAACGCCATTTGCCAGAATGACATTACAGATCACCACGCCTTCACAAAGCAAGTCCCTTAGCCCAATCGAATGTATCAGAAAATTATAGGTGATGGTATCTGCAGAATTATTACGCGGAATCTTTCACTTGCTCATGTTGACTCTCCATGAGGATAATGGCAAAGCTGTCAGAGTCCAGATCAGTAACTTGAAGTCATATATTGAAACATAGGTACCCTGTAGCTGCTTCGCCTTCGGCCATATGTACCCAACGAGGAGAATAGCTCCCAGCGCTACGCATATCAACGATACGGTATAGTAGCCATCAAATTCGGTTACACATTCGCCACCGAGCTCCTTGCAACGTTCTCTTCCGGATTCAGAACTGCATTCTTGAGCTGGATGGAAGCAAGACTCGTCAACGACCTGCTCAAAGGTGGACTGAGATCTAACTCCTTGCCTTGTATGACAATCTCGCGCGTTGATTCGTTTACATGGCACATAGCAGAACTGAAGACATCCACTCCTGGATTCCACACATATAAGCCAACCGAGCGATAGAGCCTGTCAGAGTCACACATACCCGTAAGGACGAACCAGCGTGGCCAAGTACCCCCAAGGTTGGAGATTGTATTGAGCAACTACATCATGAGTCAGAAAAGTCATGGCGGGGCCACAGAAAGTCCCCACTCACAGTCATGTACGTCCCCCCAACCACGGGGTCAGATATATGAGTATGAAAAGCGGACACTCCAACAAATTGGAAGGTGCTGAATGGTGAGATCAGTCATCCTGGATCGTATGGTGGGCAGAAGAGAACGTACGACGCAAAGGAGGTTAGAACTTTGACCACAATTATCAACAGCAAGAGCCATCTGGATTTCGCGTCCTCGGCGTTGAATCCTTTTACAAGGCCAACGCTCGCGAGGGCGAAGGCTAATCGGACGACGTAACCTTGCAACCAAGGACGCAGCTTATGATCACCGGTGCTCCATCGGGCTGCGACCCATCCTCCCACTAGCTGCAGTGGGAAGTCGATGAGAGCCACAAGCGCAAGATCTTCACGAGTCAGTAAACCTTTTTCCATAAGTTTTAGGTCTGTCACAGCATCATTTGCTTGGAAACCGATTTTTGCAACAAGGTGAATGATAACAAGGGTTTGTATATCTAAAAAAGGACGAAATATATCAGTGCACATGACACAGTGTAGTTCGTTGTCTCTACGTTTGAGCTGGCATATCTTCCACATGGTGCGGTAAACTCCTCGGACAGATATATCTATATCTTCTTCCTCTGCACTCACAGGGTCCTATGGAACGGAGGAATTGGAGAAGAGACAACGGTCGCGGAGCCGACGAACTGACCTCTCTCTTGAAAAAGAATAGCCAAAGTGTGACGACAAAGCAAAAATATCCCCAGAATTTAAGATATCCTCCAAGATTTAAGAAAGGTTCATCCGAGGGAATCGAACGGAAATATTTATTGCTGCACAGATAATTAGGAATGAGGAACACGAAGAATAAGAAGTGGCTTACGCAAATTCGGGGCTGTTGAGTGCGAGGAAGACAGTGAACGAAAGAAAATAACCAGAGTTAAGTCCGACAGTCTGAGCAGTAGATGCGTATGATAAGTTCTTCCCCGATAATAATGTCAGAGCCCATCCTAGCTGGAATGAGGGAGTGGTTTTTCTGACTAGCTTGAACTTCCTTACCGTCAACGGCTATATCTGTGCTCAGGAGTTAGTATAGCTATTATACGAAACATCGAATCAGCCTGCACCTTGAGTTGCGGCAAAGAACACAAGTGTCACGAAGACAAAGGTCAACTTTGATATATCGTGCTCTGCGGATTTCAACAACTCTTCGGAGTTCCTCCCCATCCATATCATGAGAGACCCTAAGATGGCTTGAATCGGAACAATCCAAGACTTCCGTCGCCCAATTTGTGGATGGTACACCGAGTCAATGATGGGGCTCCAGAAGAGCTTTAAAGAGTATGGGTATGTGCTGAAGTGTATGAAGGTATGTGAAAAAGCGTTCCACTTTGGTTCTTATCATTTCGTCATACCTCAAAGAGAACGTCCCAATTTGGGTGTATGAGAGCCTTGACTTGAGGAGAAATGGAATAGAACCGAAAGCCAAGCCAATAGGTATCCCTTGAATAAAATCTTTTGGGAAGATGTAGCCTACAGTAACGTCGAGGTGGTAGTATACACTATGCTTACAAAGTACAATGAGCAGGGCAATAGCATTCCGATCCCGGTTTGTCAGCAGAGAAGGTGCGGATTGAGCATGGGCAGTTGTTAAAGGCGATATTTTTTCGTCCAGATGTTTCTGGTATCCGTTCCCATCGGAAGCGTGTGTTCTACGAGCTGTAGGCAGAGTCGTTTGCTCTAAAGCAGATCCTTTGCCAGAAGCGCCAGAAAATGCTTGCATATTGTCACCTCGAGATGTATATCCGTTCTGAAGGAGCGTCCCACTTTTCTTCTTTATGAGCTTCAAGACCCCTGGCATCTAGGTTATTTCAGACACACTCGAGCCTATTTCGTGAATAGTGCAATGACAGTCAGAGGAAATCCTCAATATCAATATCTGCGTCAGACACCACGTGTACCATATGTGGGTTCAATTCAACGGATCCAAACGCGTCCAGTTGGCTCGTCACCTGAGTCCTCGCCACGCCTTACCTGCCACGTAATTGTTCGCACTTCAGAAGCCAGTTTCTCGCGGATTTGTAGTACCCGTATGCAGATTCCAGTTTTGCCACGACCAGACGGCAATCACCGATCGCGTGGACGAGAATGCATAAAAGGCATATTATGTCTAATCGTCAGCAGTTATCCGATTTCGGATGACGTCTATTTAAGATACATCGCTTGCATTATATATTGTTATTTAATGGAGGTACGAGATTAAATTAGGCTTGTGCGCACTCAGTCTAAACGCACTCATTGGTCTCTTTTCGCGCGTGGCATTTTTCCCGGTGGTGTTTAATCTTATGCGCCGTACCCGCTGTCGGCCTTACGCATACTGTGCCTTCCGAGGTTACAGTCATGCCGATTCAGGTTTTTGCCGCTGCATTCCTGGGTCGATTCTTCCGGGCAATCTCATCCGTGAGTTTCGTCCGCCTATGCTACAGGGCTCTGGCCCTCTTATACCTTTCCTCTGCTGAAGGCGTGTTCTTTCTTAGTCTTTTCTTTTGTCCTGTATGCTGTTTTTTGACGAAGACATTCCTTCGTCTTCCTTGCTTCCGGTAAGCCTTTCGGTCTCGCCGAGGGGGAGGTGTTGTGACCTTCGGTTACTCTCGGTGGGTGGGATCCCGATTGCTTACTTAGGTTTTTCTAGGTTTCCTTTTTTCGGTTGTTTCCTTGCTCGCTGTAACTTCTGTCTTTCTTTCCTTATTGCTCGTTGTCCTTGTCGTTTGCGAAACCCTCCTCCTTCCCCGGTCTCCTCCCTATTGTATATTAACCGGGTCGCCTTCAATTCCAGAGGTTCTGGCATTTGCCGGGACTGTTGCCCCGCTAATCGCTTGAGTCTCCTGCGTGCACACAAGTCGTCATATATATACATAGACAATAAAATTGCAGGACCGGTTTGACGGAGTTTGGCTTGAATACAAGTAAGCCTTGCTTGTCCAACTGCTGCGTATTTCTAAGTGGCTCGATCAGTTTTCCACCTTGCAAAACCACGCATCGGCACCCAAAAGTGGGCGCGGCAGCACTTGCCGTACAATCGCAGGAGTGGAATCATTTCGAGGCAAATCTTGTACAAGTAACCTAATACATCCACATCCTCCCAACTACAATACTGGTGATAGGCATTGGAGCCACGGACAGGTCAAGAGACGAAAGAATATTACAACGTTTCTTGGAGGACATGAGGGAACGTGTAGAACAACCAAGTGTAGAGACGTACCACAAATTGTGGACCATTTGCTTGATCTCCTCCACAATCGTCACGAACTTAGTATGACCCTCCTCCATGATATTCGTGTCCCATCTCTCAACGGGAGCAGTGTCCACGATGACAGTGGCAGAGTCAGCTATGGCAACGGGTTCAACGGTTCTACCAGCCCTGTCGTACGTGTAGTAGGAAAGTTGTCTTCCTATAGCGCTAACTCCGTACAACTTGGGTATTTGGACGAGGTGCGCGAGTTGTGCGAACCGGGATCGAACCTGATTTTCGGCGTCCTTGCGAGCGGATATGGCAGCAAGATGAGTGGGAGGCTTAATTTCGATGAAAAATATGGGGCTGTCCAGATTCAGCGGCTCAACGACATAAGTGATCGCAAAATTGCTGGCGCCGATACCGCCCACCTGAGCCCCTGACGTCGCATACTGAGGTGTGATCGTGAACTGGGTGGAAGGGAAACATTCGTTGAGAATGGCATTATAGAGTCCATAGAATTTGTTCTCGATAGTCTCCGTGTCTGGTAGACGAGAGGATTTCGCGACAATATGTGCTGGCCAGGGCATGATGAGACAATAGGACGATACAATTCGGGACAGCAGGGCAGACCGTTCACTCACGTGTGCTGTGACGATTGAGACAGAGTCAAGAACTTTTCACTAAAGTCATCAAGTGTTTTTTTCTGGGTAGATGGGTGCTCAGAATAAATGCACAGAAATAAGGGAACATCGGGAATGAGTCCAAGTTTACTGATAAGTATGCTAGAAACCGGATTCGCAAAGAAATATCGGGATGGGTAAGGTAAGTCTCAGTTTACAACGTCGGCGTCCCAATAAGTAATCCCTCGTTGCTAAGTTCGGAATAGTCAATTTTAGAACTGGAATGACTCCAGGTGCAGGCCAGCACTTGGATGATGACAACATCCGGTTCGTTGGTAAATAATAAATAACTAAACAGTATGAACGCAAAAGTGTTGACCAAGATATCATCGATGGGTTTGATCGAGGCTAGAAAGTCGTTTCGTCAAGCCAACAAGGTAAGGACTCGATGGATAGATTGTCCTGATTATTATATAAACACCGCAGAGTGCCAACGCGGATCAGGAAAGCTCCCAGTACCGGCACGCCAGGGATCTCATAATAAGGGGGATAAGCCTTCCATTCTACCACCACGCGGCCGAACGTTGCATTGGCGCCCGGCGCCCACTGAAATTTGAATCTGAGGCAATAGTCCTCAAAGCAACCCCAAACCAGAGGCTTTCCCTACCAGTGGCTCCGCCGGGGACTCTAAAGACCGGCACTGCGCCAGCCTGATGAATTTGATCCGGTGGAAGGCGCAAAAAAAAAAAAAAAAAACAGGAACAACTGCAGATCAGCCAAGGCTCCGGATGCAAAGCAATGCCGTGGTGGACTTTCGAATCGCCACCAACGCCTCTCAGCGCCATCCCTTGAGTGATCCACACCCCACAGTTACATATCTATTAAAATGGTTCGTCTTTCCTGTGAGCATGGTGACTTCGAAGCTTGGGTGGAAAGTGGCGGCCATCAACTGGATGAATACGGCGCCGAACAACCCACACCAAATTCTCAAACTTGTCACATACCATCTGAAACCGGGAAGGTATAGATCCCGATGCGCTTTTTGTAAGGGGAAATGCTAATTAACCGATGTAGCCGTTTGCGGTCTGCTTTACGGCGTCTTGGATGGCAGGATACACCCTCTCAGTCTCGCTCTATGCCGATGGAGTGTATGTAGGGGGTCGCGTAGTGAGACCAACAACCCTTGGCCAAGTGACCCGCATAGACTCTGCTATGGACAGTCCTTTAACGGAAAGACCGTGAGGCACACGTCTTCCGTCACCCCACACGATTCTTACCAACACTTCTAGGTGCATTTTTGCGAGCTTACGCCTCACTGGTAACCACATCCCCGGGCTTATATCAACCAAAAGCTGATTATACATCCCTAGATGACGATACCGCTATTCGGGGAGGCCCGTCGCTTGAGGAAATGGGCACACTGAGGATCACTATCCAGCCAGTGGTAGAGACTGGACGTTCGCAGTTCTCTGGATCAACTCGAAGCCTTCCTGGGGATAACCCAATCAACGAGAGAAGCAAGAAAGCTGGGTCTCATGCCGTCAAGTGCGTCTACCCTTGCCTTTCTCCTGCACATGCCAACAGCTGAGGCACACAGGCTCGGAGAAGCCCGACTAATCCGCAACCCCCGATCCCTTATAACCACAGTTCCCGTTATGGGCACCGTACCTCACGGCAAGTCATCACTCATTTTGTAGTTCTTGCAAAAATCCAACTGTAACCCTTAGAAATTATTTTCAAATATGCCCCTATTGGTGTGGTCTCAATCTTCTCTTCACGGGTGTTTTACACTTGACAAAATTCTATGTATCAGATTTCCTGCAAGCCCAAGAAATTGCCCCTCGTCATGTGTCGGTCACTTCTGGACAGCATTCAACGGACCAGGTCAAGGGCGAGCCCAGTAGTTCACTTGGCAAAAGCGGCCCTTCCACGGTCAAAGTGAAAAACGAGTCTAAGAAGCGCGTAAAAGAGGAGGATCCTATCGTAATCTCGTCTGACGACGATAGTCCGGCTCTAACCACTGAAGAACAGGACCAGTTAGCTCGTATCAAGGTAAACTCGTTTGTCGTTTAATTATGACTTAATTCTAACATCCATTATACTAAGGCCAATGCGAGAGGAGCACGGTCCTCCAAGAAGCCAAAACTCGAAAACTCGAGTCAAGTCGTCGTCCTCAGTGACTAGTCGGAATACTTCTAGCAGGCTGACACGCAAGCTCGATTCTTGTTGGCCTCTGGGAGGAACCGTCCACGTATTTATCCATCATATCGTCGTGATCTCGTTATGGGTTCCGGAAGTGTAAAACCGGCGTATTGTTGTATTATAAACTCTAGGATTTATAGGATCCGTTCAGCTTTTTGCTCCATGACGCCTTTAATCGTACGCACGACGATCAGACGTGGATCTCATGCCCGTAGGCCGGAGGCGTGTACGGTCATAACTTGACGTACTCCACACGGCTCTGTCGACGTCGTGGATGACGTGATCCATCCTGCAGATCGATCATAAGCATCGCACCCGTGACAATCAAAATCCACGACACCCGCGGAAAGAGTTTTTGACAGATGAAAGCGGTGGTCCGAGGAACAGCCGATTGCATAACGTTCGACCATACCTTTCATTGCGCGAGTCAAGGCTTCAGCGATCCCAGTTTTGCAAGGGATGCTGCAAATATCAGCTCAACTCCAGCGTGGCCAGAAAGGGAAAATTGGTTGTATTTGCACTGCTTCGATATAATTGCGCCTGAGCGTGCTCGATGTCCATTTTTGCGAATTTACGTCCCACTGGTATCAAAGGGGGGGAGGCTCACCTCAATAACTTTACACTCACTTGCCTCAAGTCAACTGACGATACATATAGTGATCTCGCTGATTTCCCACATAGATTGGAGGGGCACAATCGATTAGCGGCCGAGCCGCAAGCTGGTTTTCGCGGTTGTTCACAGGCAAATTCTAGTGTGATTCTAGTATCTGGTAGTGATACAGAATTCAGGGTATCTCCATGAAAGGCGGCAAAATTCTAAATTATCTCAGAAAGATGTTCAAAAAAAAAAACGCAGAGGTGATATGTGACGTAGAGTGGACCGCAATGCATAGTCAGTGAAACGCCTACATTGGGGCACCATGCCGAATGAAGCTGAGATCAGTTTCTTCAGATGAGGGGAAGTCGGAGGCGGGATGAAATAGCGAGTGTACATATATGCTCATCCACGTTGCGATACAGACGTCACGTAGCACCGAACCCTCACATTTACCATTCAAAATATGATGTATCAAACAGGGTTGTATATTGGTGATAAAGAGAGGCCAATGCCCTCGATCATAAAAATGAGAAACACGCCCACTCAGCCGGTGAAATTGTGGGGGTAAATTTTAAAAATGAAAGCTACATAGCGTTAGCTCAGACTTGATTGTAAATACCAATGCAGTGTCAGTTAGTAATACAATATCCAAGGAATGGAGGAAAGATGAAGCTCTCACCTTGGACTCGAATAAAAGCTCCGAGGGAGACGGTTCCAAAAATTCAGTCTCCTCATATCCAGCCATTGCTCAGTGGCAAGGTTGTCGTACAAAAGAGGTCAAGTTGAAACAAATGATCAAAGCTCCAGTCGAACCCTCAAAGCTCCCATCATTCATCAAGGCCCCTGCCCACCCGAGTGCACGAGCTACTGACTCGCTTGTTTCGCATGGACACCTACCATACTGTTCCGCCATTCGAACGGGTACGGTGCAAGGGCATGGTTTCATCTTGTGATGCACAATTTTGCACACGTGTGCGCGAATTGAGATTCTAGCGAGGGATAGTAGTGAGTCAATGCGAACACCTTCAGAAAGCACTCGGACAACACCAGTGCATCTTCCGATAGAGAGGTCGCGATCAGCTGGTGCCCAGGCTACAGTGGCATCAGAGGAAACGAACGCGCGAACGAACGTAAAAGGCGCACACAGACGTAGCATGCTCGAGATCTGGAGGGACCGATGAACAATCTCACCAAAAAAAAACCGCACAGCTTAGGCTTCCACGCAGCAA